ATATCCTTCCTTCCTGTATGAACCAAGTGCCAAGGCTTCTAGGGAGCCCAGCACCAAACAAAGAGTCCCAAATAACTCATGCAATGATGCACAGCATTGTCTTTGATTCTGTCTATATTAGCCCATCAGAAACACAGAAAAATCCACCCAAGGAACCACTTTCCTCCTCTTCCTTCTTCCTCCCAAATAAACTCAGAATTCATTCCACTGCCAACTTTCCAACTGAATGGAGCTAAAACCTCATCTTAATTATTACTAAGCTCTACTAAGGTCAACACTGTTCAAGGCTCAGACAATGAATTCCCAGATCCTGGGAGAGGATCCTCTTTACATAGCTCAGGTACATATATGCAGGGAGAGCAGGAGAAATGCCATTCCAGCCAGTTTGAACTTGCATGGCAAGAGGATCATTAAAACTAGGTCAGGTCACCACTTGCAGGGAATACATTCCAAGCAGGAAAAGTGGAAGAGATTCCATTACCTTTTGTTTGGACAGGGAGTGAACCAGAACCTCAAGGTAATTTAGGACTCTTATGAAACAACCTGACATTTTCTCAACAAGTGAGGAAATGGGCAACCACATTAAATACAACTGACACTTGTTTCTGAGTTGACACATTCCTCAAAGACAAATGATCTTTACAGGGTTTTCACTCTTTTGGGAAACTTCCTGGTATTCTACAAAAAGGGAAATGAGTGGACCCTGGTTTGCTAATGGAAGACGGTTGATCCTTTCCATTGACCTGAGAGAGTTCACCAAGTGTGATCTCTTTGAGTGAGGCTAAACAGGGGTTTACCCTTTATAGGATAACAGAATTTTATTGTTTTCCTAATCCAAATTATAGCTGAGGATCCTTGAAGTCCTCAACAACTTGAAAGGAAAGTGAACAAGCTTTCATTTGATGCTTTTTCATTATTGCCACAGCTCAATTTGCTGCAGAGGTATTTGAAGTAAAAATTGGTTCACCCTGTATAAGTACATTACAAAAATGCATGGTGAAATTGGGCAGGAAATGTTTCCTTGATGATTTCACTCACCTCTGGAAGATTTGATCCAAGTTTTGCTTTGCCAAATATTGACGTTTTTGGTCCCTTGGGATTCTCAGACCAAATTTCATGCATAAAGGTATTCATATAATCTTCCTCCCAGAAAGCCTTTCGAATCATATTCACACGTGATGAATCAGTTCTCTCTAGATGTGACACATAGTAATAATTATATTCAGCTCATCAGGACGTTCATGAATCTTCAACAGAATGGGCGGGGAGTGCGGTTCAAAAGTTAATTTTTTTATACTTTATTATACACTTTTATGATTTTCTTCGGATATGTAGCCGAGTTTTTTTCGAATCGCATTCCTCAAAGTCATTGATATTGTACAGTATATTATGCTCTGAGGAAAAGTTCTCATTACCGAACGTTTTTTCGAAGATTCTTCTGGAATGGTCGTTCTGGTGGGAAATTTGATCTCTTACAGCCGTCACTTTCCTGCGAGCAAAGTTGACCTCCTCCTTGTAGCGGCGAGAAAGAACAATCGGTGTTTCGCATCGCGGACAGACTTTAGGTCCAATTATTTCCATCGGCATTCGCATCCAACGATCCAATCCGTCAACTTCAAACACGTGTTGGCATTGCACAAGCACGATGAATCTAGTTGATTAAGAAAGGAATCACAAAATGTATAAAAGTTGAAAGAAAATCACAGACCGCAATAAGTGCTGAAGATGCTGATAATTTTACCAAAGCTTCTGCGTATTCAATAATCTTCAAGCTTGACACAAGAATTACTGAAAGATACAAACCCGGTATAATTACCCTCAAAATAAGCAAACAGCGCAAAATCGCACAGATATGAAGTGGATTTGATATCCCAAGGATGGAGATATAACCTTTCTCAAGTTTCAAACATCCAGAGTTTTTCAACTTCATTTTAAAATAAATACAGTGAGACCCTGAGATGCAGACATAATTGGTGCATCAAGGGTGTCCCTAAGTTGAATTGTCACTAAGTCAAGTCTTGTTTTCCCATAGACTTACATTATATAATTTTTAATTGGTAGCCCCCCCCCCCCCCCCCCCCCCATGGTGTCCTCATGCCCTTGCCCTGCTAGGCATGCCACTCCCCTCCCCAATTTCCACACACTTGCTGTGCTTTTTTTTCTTTCCCAAATTCAAAAGCATTGCACTGGTATCTGTGTGCCCATTCCAGGCTTTAGCTCCACCAGGGTGTGGGGAAAGTTTGTGGCTCATTCAGCCAGTCCCAGTCAAAGCTGATGGGACAGAGTTTTTTTCTCTCTTGCTCAGTGCTATAATGCACTTGGAAAATATATATCTAATATTGCCAGACATTTAAATGTTTGGCACAGAAATTAATCCAACCCACTTTTGGGTTCATTTATTTTAGTATATCATTGAAATATCAATTATTTAGCCCCACCTACTGGGGCTCATTTTATTTAGTAACATTGCATTCATTTATTGTGTTAGAATGATGTGCTGTGTTACTGATGTACTGTATTTTATTTTCTGTTGTTGCAGAACTTGCTTGCTTTCATTTGTTTGTTCATTTGCTTGCTTGCTTGTTTGTTTGTTTGTTTGGTTTTCCTCAATAAATCTTGTTGTGCTCTCACCCTTGTCACTCCTTTTCATTATAAATGAATCTGATATCACTGTACTCTAGTTCTTTGTGGGTATCTTCTTAAATTAAAGATAAATTAACTGATGTCCCTGGTCCTCCGAATTATTTAATATCCAACTTAAATTCACAATTCTAACCATAATGTGCTTGAAAAAACAAGCGCCACAGTTGACATCTACAAAAATAACATTCAAGTGAAAAAAGTATAGAAGTCCCATGTTGGAGGTAATTTTTTAATATTAGCTAAATGGATGGTAAATTGGTGAGAGAAATGCCCAAAACCTTTTCTTACATGAATTTTAAGATTGGAAATATCTGTTTCATGTAATTTGTCCTGAAATTAATTTGCAATTTTATCACAAAATGTCCCAATGTCAAGTCAGTGTCCTCATGTTGGGCCTTTTTTATTCATTTTTTTCTAGGAAAATAAGTGTCCCTATCTCAAATGGTCCGCAGGTCAAGGTGCCCGCATGTGGGGGTCTCACTGTTCATTACCTGGCATCGGGTTCGTTGTTGACTGCATTCTTGGCCAAGTCAAAAAATGCCACTGTATCTCCTGTGCACTCCCGACAAGGAGGGCAGATTTCTCCGCAGAGTCCAACGCATTTGTGCCGACAGCCGAGAACTTTTTCACACGGTTCGTTGCATTTGTCGTCGCTTCTGCCACACTCCGCGAAACATTTCCTTTGGCAGGGCTTGTGATGGCGACAACCGCATTTACATTCCTCCTGCGAGAGAACGCCGAATTAATGTTTTATCAATATTTGTTTTTAAATTTTTTTTTTATTTTCTTTTAAGGGGTTAATATTTGAACATAATCACTGTATTTCTTCTCCCAAATGAAAAATGAAAAAATCTAAATACAAATACAGTATTTGAATAAAAGGGGCCTCTGAAGCATTAGTAATGTCCTTAATTTATTTCCACCCTTTTCATATAGTAACATCTTTCAAATAAAAAAATAAATACAGCATTTTTAATTCGTTAATTATAATACAATAAAATTAATATTATAAAATCCTGCTTAATATTTTAAAAATAATTATTTTTTCTCCTGAGTAAATAATTTTTAATAGACATTCTAAATCAAAAGACATTTTTAAATTAATACAATAGTATTAATCATTATTTTATTATATCTTTATTGATCATTATACATTTTTATTTTGCTCGATCATCAAAATTCAGCATCGAACAGGCACCGCTTGAACCAAAATATCAAACTGTTGCTGGTATAAATCTCAATCAAACGGGATAAATTCCTTCGTTATGACAAAGAAGAATTAAGAAGAAAAAGAAGATGTCCCTCACCCAACAAGGAGAACAAGGCTCCGAGCACAAATCAGCACAGGGAGAATGAGGACACGAATGACCACACGGTTCTCTGCAGGGCGGGCAGTTGAACCCGCAAGCAGCCTTACAAACATGTCCGCAGACGAGTTTGCGTTCGCACGGCTCATCGCAAGGCACATGTATCCTGCCTTGAAAACACTCGGAGCATTTTCCAGAGCACACGTGTCCGCAGGACAGAAGTGACCCACAGGGATGATCGCAGTAATCCATTTCCTCTTCCATCGACAATATTTTGCCACTGGTGATGATGTGACAGGGTAGTCTCACTTGATGACCGCACCTATATATATACAGTAATACGAAAAAAAAAGGAATAAATCATTTTATCCCTTCCAAAAACAACAATCTGGTTGATTAGCGTTGCAATATACAGTGAGACCCCCACATGCAGACACCTCAACATGGGGACACTTATTTTTCATTTTAAAACATCATAAAAAAGGCACAACATATGGACACTGACTCAACATGAGGCCATTGCATGATGCAGTTGCTGATACATTTTAGGAAAATTGACTTTTATCAGGCTTAATTGCAAGAAACAGATATTTCCAACCCTAAGATCTATGCAAGAAAAATTCTTTGGTACAACTTTGCCCATCCATTCAGCTAATTTAAAATAATTACCTATAGCAGATGGGACTTCCTTCTCTCTTTGTGACTTTGATGTTATTTTTACAGATGCCAACATTTCAATGAACTGTACAGCGGTATACTATTCAATGCTCCAAATGTTCTTATTGAGTTGAAAAGATATTCACTGAATCAAATTCAAGTGGCAAACAAATTTTCTTCATGGAATTCTGAAGAATATTTCTTCTATAAAACACCAATTAAAATTATACAATGTAAGTCTACAGGAAAACCAGACTCAACTTAAGGACAATTCAACTTAGGGACACTCTTGATGCACTATAATTATGTCCACATCTGGGGGTCTCACTGCATATTGACAGACCTTCCGTCCTTTCCAGCAATGTCCATCATGACTGTGCATCTCGTCGTGCAGCTACTGGAACACTTCTCCGCACACTTGTGTCCGCAAGTCAATACCTTCCCACACTTCTTCTGGCAATGGATATTTTCAGAAACTTCGGAACATTCCACTATTACGAAATGTGAGCAATCAGGGATTATTTTCTGCACCTTCACGCGACAATCTCCGCAGGGTTCTTGGCACTTTCTTTGGCATCGGTGACCGCATTTCAAGGTTTTCTCGCACTGGTACAAATGAAAAACAATATAGTCACAAACGCGATAAGGACATAAAACGACAGAATAAATCCTGGAATATATACTTCGCAGACAAGTGGCAAATTCTACCAATCGCAAATCATGCGAAACATTGTACATTGTGCAATATTAATGAGTGTGTAACCATATGGTTATACTAACCTTGGCTTCGCAAATCACGTCACCTGCTTCCAGCAGGTGACACAAGGTTTTCATCACAGTATGGCCGCACGTCAACAATAACTCCGTGATCGGCTCTTTACATGGTGGACAAGGATCTTCAGAGCACATCGCTGCAACATTTATTTTACATTAAAAATAAAATAAAATCCTCGATCATTAACCAATAAAGATAAATCCGTGCTTGCGCCACTCAGCGCGTTCCAATAAAACAGAGAAATTGAAATCAATTATTTAATGATTTAATCAATCCAATCACAAATATCAAGTCAACTATACCAGAGGTTTTAAAATCCTTCCCCCACAATTTCAAATTTCAATGCTTGTATAAATGATAGGAAAAATTGAAGGAGGCCAAAGGCGAGAAATTGTATTGCCGAATCAATGAGGAATTTTGTATTTTTGCAACTAGAATTATCCTGTAGCAATAATAACATAGGTTGTGCGGCTAAAAAACATATAAATTATCTGCTTGATTAATTATAAACATTTTTCCCAGGGTTGAGTGAAATGGGCCAATTCCAAATGAGTTTACAGCACAGCATATACAAAGCACGTTCAATTTTTTTTGGGAATTAATCCAAGCAGAAAGTCACCAATTCTAAATGAAAACACACTGCTCTCACCTGGATGAGTTGAAATTTTAACGCCTTTTTAAAATTCTGTCAAAATAATCTAATAAAATATTATTCAGCTCCAATATAAAGTGAGACCCCGACATGCAGACAATTGAAATAGGGACACTTATTTTCCCATAAAAATAATAATAAAGGCCTAACATGGAGACAGTGACTTGACATAGGGACATGTTGTGCTAAAATTGCAAATAAGTTTCAGGCCAAATTACAAGAAACAGATACTTCCAATAAACCCTAAATTTAATGAAAGAAAAGTTCTTTGGCATTTCTCTCATCAATTTACCATCCCTTTAGTTAATAAAAAAAAACCTTCAGCATAAATAAGGGACTTCCTTCTCTCTTTTTCACTTGATTTTTATTTTTTTTTACAGAAAATGCCAACATTTCTATGTACTGTACAGAGGTATCAAAATTCAATGCTCCATAGTCCATGCTGTGTAGAAAGGTATGATTGAATGAAATTCATTTGGGAGACCTTTTTTCATGGAATTATGATGAGCATTTTGTCCATAAAACGCCTATTAAAAATTACATGTCATGTAAGTCTAAGGGAAAATGAAACTCAACTTGGGGAAATTTTGACTAAGGGACACTCCTGATGCACTGATTAGGTCTGCATCCTATGGTCTCACTGTATATAGTCATAGAATGTAACAAACATTTTCACAAATCCTAATTGGGCAATAGCTTGTGAATTAATTGCTCAGAGCATTCAAGGAATTATGAAATGTGTTCGCCATAACAACATAAACGCAAAAGAGATACAAGATACAAAAAGCTACCTTTGCAAGGATGATTTCGAGGACACAATTTTTCACATCGTTTCCAACATTTTGTAATCAAATGCTCCGGGTCTTCACTCGCGTGACAATGTCTTCTACAAGCATGTCCGCAATTCAGCTTGGCGACGCACTTCTCTCGGCATTTCACCTGATGAATTGCAGCATAAAGGCGTTGACAAAAATTCAGGGGAGCATGTAATTGAGAATTCGTTAAATACTGTATATCGATATACAGATAATCCAGAAGAAACAGTAAGATTACCGGGAAAATTCCATGGAATCCCAATTAAAAAGACAAGGGGCGTGAAGTACAAAATAAATTACAAGTTCTACATGAATATTATCGGATAAATCAAAAAATTTAAAAATATAGACTTCGAAATCCGCTGGAAGCCAACCGATTCAATTTTTCCTGAGCAATCCATTTCTTGCACATGCTTGCAGGCCACCAGCATTCGTTCAACCCTCGCAATACACGGAGGACAGGGCTTCCTACCGCAGATATATTGGCATGCATGACTTTCGCGACACTTTCCTTCACAGGGCTGCTGACATAAATTTTCTTCACTTTCGTGGGTCTTGTCCTTCACGTGACACGGTCGTTGGCACAAGTGGCCGCATGAGTCAATTACTTTATTGCACATCTGAAAAAACACCAGAATCACAAAACTCATGAAATACATTAACGCTCGATGAACAGATGAGATGCAAGTTAAGATATAAGGAAAAGGGGTGGGTCAACTTACTTTGGTGCAACCACCAGTGACAGGGAATTCACTGGATTTGGAGACGGAAATAACCTGATCCGGGTGATTTTGACAACGTAGGGGCAACGCTTTTCCAATCTGGTTTTCCTTCACCAACACATCTCTTATCTTCCTCCACAGTTCGCTAGCAGAAACCAACGCGTCCATGTTCCCAATGATGAACAATCCCTTTTTCGCACGCGACAAAGCAACATTAACTCGATTTTCTGTCTTGAGAAACCCGATGTTTCCTTCAAGGTTGCTCCTCACGAGGGATAAAAGAATAATGTCGTTTTCTTCGCCTTGGTAGCTGTCAACCAGTGAGATTTTAACGTCTTCACACGTCGGGAAGTCAGCGATCAACTATATAAAAGGGATCGATAAGATCGGGTTTTCAATTCTAGGACGAATTTATAGCGTTCATTAACGACTGTCAGAAGAAAAAAAACAACGGAACACATTTTGCAATCGACCATTTCGAGATTAATTTATTATTCTAATCAGCATTCAAACGTTGTGTCGCGGGTCGACTAGATGTCGCCCGCAGCACAAGCCACAACAAGCATGAAAGAACAACACAGGGTACAAAAGATACGCTGTACCCGAAAACAAATTAGAGAAAAATACTGTACCAACATAAATAAAAACAATTCAGAAGAATTCCGAACACAACAAATCCTGAAGATATTGATCTTCAGGAATCATTCCATCAAGTGAATCATCACTTGATCAAAGGAATTTTGCAGAATTACAAACACAGAAAATTATAGTCACACCCCAATGAAAACTTTGGAGAAGCTTTCCACTGGGGAGGACCTGTCCTGGACATGTGCAAAATCATCAGAGGATTCAGCCAATCCTGCTCTGAACTTTGGAGAGACAAGACCTGCATTTTGTGTGTGACATATACTTTGGTTGAGAACATTGTGGACTTGGACATATAAACAGACATTGAGGAGTTTGAAACCCTCAGGCTGCAAACATCTGATTGTGCTTATTAGTTTATTTCACTATAAACCCAATCTTTGTGGTGAGATACGTCTCAGGGACCCCCCACACTTTGGAAGGAAGAAAGTATTGGTAATTGAGACACAAGAACAATAACTTAATAGTTTCAACAATGACACAACAGAGGGATGAGTCAAGTTCAGCCAATCAATGCGATCCAAGATTTTTCAGACATTTCAAGTCATTTTTTTCTTCCTTTGAAGAAAAAAAACACGATAAATTCACCGTAGCATTTAGCGCATGAATTCATTTCTTCATTATAAGCTATTCATTATAGAAGAAAAAAAACACGATAAATTCACCGTAGCATTTAGCGCATGAATTCATTTCTTCATTATAAGCTTTAAAATTTCAGGTAGAAATCAAATGATTTTCTCCCTCGGGCAAACTTTCTCCAGATGTTTCACTTCAACAACATTGAGAAATCTTGCTCAGCTGAAATACTTTTCAGTATAGATGTCAAATGCATTAATTTGCACGTTGAAATATGGATTGTCGAAGGGATCATGAAAGTCACTCACCTTTTTAAAGACGAAAAGTTGTCCCGAGTACCCGGTCAGAATTGTGATTTGTTCACGCTCGTATCCTTGCAACAAAAGATAACGACACAACGAAAGCAAAAACTCAGCCTCGACTTCGTTGCTCTTGCTCTTCAGGTCCTCATTCTTGAAAAATAACGCGTATCAGAACTACCGAGATATAATAATGCACCTCATCCTGATTTTTGGATTCACGTTCGAATAACTTTTCACTTCAAATTCTGTCAAGGACTCACCGATTCTTCTGGAGCATTGTGTTCAATAAAAAACACATTCTTAGCCACGCCAAGAACGTCGTCATAGAGCGTGACACTGTCGTGATCTTGCAAATCTTCGTAGACATTCAACTTGATCAAGTTTGATATTTCCGGCCTCATCCGATGCTGCTGTCGTAAACGAGCGTACGGCACGCGGTTCTTGACCATTCTCTCGAACAAAGACACATCCAGTCCGTAGTTTTTGGCGAGATCGTACACAGTTGTTGTGGGCCTCAGTTGCTGTTGATCCCCTACAGCGAATTTAAAAAAATGTTATCTTCATTGAGTTTACAAAGATGAGACCGCTGAGCGAGAGATATTTCTTACCTATCTGAATCAGATGCTCGCAATGAGAAGTCAGACAGCACACGATATGCGATTCCAAAACCTCAGCTGCTTCTTCGACCACGACTGCAGAAAAACAAATAGCTCATCATCCTGTCATTCTTGACCACAGATGCCATACATGCTCATACTTTATACTAGGCCGAACGATTTTTAAAATATTGCTGCATTCATGAGGGCAAAACGTCGAGATCCAAGTTTTACAGATATGAATACACAACTCACGAATTTTTGATCTCATGTTGTGCACGAGAGACATGTTCCGAGCAGCTCCAGTCGTCGTCATTCCAACGATGTCCAAAGACCGAGCATACTGTATTAGGTCTCCATCTTGGGCTTCCTTGTATCTTTCAACCAGCTGCCTGTACTCCTCCAGTGAAGCATCAATTTTGCTTTGTACAATCCGCACAAATCGGTTTGCCCAATACCGGTAAATCAACCACCGGTTTTCCAGGCGGGCGTTGATCCAATTTATTTTCGGTCCGACTAATTTTTCAGGCGGTTCAACGAGGTCCAAGTTTGCCGGGACTTTAAGAAATACTGAATCTTCTTCCATCTTAAAACGCATCATTGACCAGTTTTCTAACCGCCATTCAGCTTCCATCAGGTCTTGAGGTCGTGGTACAGCATATCCGTTCCGGGAGCTTCCCTCCTGATGAGAGCATTTCAAGGTTTGGAGCGTGATATAAATTATTATGTCATCAACAATCGTCCATGTAATCGTAGAAAGAGGCAGCTTTTCAAGTCGTGTTTTTTCTTATCTGAGGCTGTTTTCGCCTTTTCATGTTTCTTTGATAAACGATTCGAATCTCTCTCGTCATCATGTGTCAATAATAGTCTAAGCTTCAGCCTTCCGCCGAGTTAAGATTTAAAAATTCCTTTTAAAATCTTGCGTACTCCTCAAACATTTACATCGGAAAAACGTCATTCATCTGCACACATTCAGGAAAAACATACAGAACTTCATAAATTCACGGATTGTAAGTATCACATACATTTCTCCTGGCGAGGAAAGAAAACCCTCATGCATATTAAAAAAAAATCGCTTCTATATCGTCTTTCCGAATTTCCAGCATTTCTTCTTCGTCCGACGAACAGCCTCATAAACCCATTAGACCTTCTTACGGTTCCATACAGGTACACAATTTTCGGGTTTCAATTGCCTCATACATACAGCTCATGACTCGGAAGGGTTTTTCTTTTGCCCATCAGGAAACAGCAAAAATATGAATAATTATACAAGTACTCATGCACGACGAACAGCATACATCAACTTCAGAGAGAATTCATGAACGAAAACATTTCACCGATGAACGCACACGCACAGACACCCAGGCAAGAAGCACTTGTCATGAATAAGATGTGCTATCCAAACCTAACCGTATAACAGGAATACATTTATTTCGATTAAAGTCAAGAACTCTTACTGAATCAGATCTGAATTGTACAGATTTCTCAGTTCATTTTAAATTAGCGGAGAAACTGTCCCACGTGGGACCGTGGAAAATTAACGATATTTTGCTTGTTCACGAAAATAAAATTTGGTCTCTTGCTCGAATTGAATACAGGCACATCAGCAGTAGCCTATAAGTTAAAAATCGGGTTCATCACTTTTCGAAAGCGGTAATTCTGAATTAGGACTCACCCACGGGAACAAAGATATGCTCTCATTATAAGGGTTGTAGAAGTCATCAAGCAGATCCGCGATTTTCTGCACATCCATCTTTGCTTGAGCTACAGCGTTTTCAATGCTGATAATGCTGATTTCGCAGTGACGCCGGATACTCTCACTTGCTCGCTCAGCAGTTATGGAGGGTGTGGCATTGCGATCAGTATCATAGATCGATTCAATTTCTCGACGATGCGCTTCAGCCGTAGCTTCGTCGTCGATGTCCAAGTCTACAGCATCAGCCACCCCGTCATGGTCGTTGTTCGCGTAATTCCCCTTATACTCAGTCGGGAATCTTGTCGTGATCTTCCCTTCAGCAAACAGAAGATTTTTCTCCTTGTCGAGAATTTCATGAAAGAAATTTTCAGACATCTTGGCATACGGTAAAAAATTCAACCATTTCGCCAGGCTGAAATTCGAAGGGAAGCAAGACGGAATTTCTATGCCGTAGAACCGCAGTGTCTGAAGTGCTAAGATCCCAGCTCCTGACGATATGCCTGGTAATTTAGAAATAAACCCACAAAACGTTACCACGAAGATTCTCAGCTTGGTTCTCCTCAACCAAATAAAGTCCAAACTGAAAAGGAAAAACCAGATAAGAAGGATACTACTTGATATGAATCACGATGTGGCAGAAACAAAAGTGGAACTTCAATGGAACACATATCCGACACGACACCTGCATGTTCTCATCGTTTTTTCTCTCTCTCATGCTTTTGATGAATTTAAACGCTGATGAATAATTTGAAGCTGATATATTTCAGCAGGTTGAAAAATCAAACACAGCGTATGAATACTTACTGAAGGTACCTGACAAGTTCACAACTGCATGAAACCACGAAGTTGACAGAACCGCGCTACATTCGTATAAAAGGTACTACCATACACATATATTGCAAACATATGGCAACCCTGCGTGTTTTGCATCAATTTAATCCAGAGAACACATCAACAATAGTCAGCAGCAGTTCGCTCAAGGAAATGAGACGGATTGACCAACAGAATACAGGCGCTACTAGGAAATTCGTCAAGTTTTGGGCTGAAAATACTCCGCAGTTTAAATTTTAATCAAGTACTTTGTGCACATTTTTGAAGAAAAAAATGACCAAAAAATGGGGTGCATGCCATTAATTGGGAGAAACATTTTCTTCCTCAGAAAAATTATAAATTCCAAGTCATACTCAAATACTTGATAGGAATTTTATATTGGGCTCCTGCTGCTTACTCAAATATAAATACAGTGAGACCCCAATATGCAGACACCCCATCATATGGACAAGTCAACTTAGGGACACTTGCAAACCAAAAAAAAATAATGCTGACATCCAGACATGGGCTCAAGTTAGGGACAATTTTCTGAAAATTTTCAAAAAACTCAAAACATTTTATTTTCTAATTTTGATATTTTTTGAAGAATTCAAGCTACAGTAGAATTCTGTTACAACAAATGTTGTTGTAATGAATTTTTTTATAACAATAAAGTAATTTTAGGCTGTAATCTCATTATAAAATTTTTTGGCATGATTCTGTGCATTGTCCATATAGAGATTCTTCAAAATATGGCAGAAAATGTAGAAAAATAAGAAGATGTAGCATTAAAAATAAAATGTTATGCATAGAAAATGTGTTGTCCAAAACAATGCACAACAGGAAATATTCTTGGAAATTCTTTAGCTCATCCATTTTAGAATGTTTTCCTTTTTAAATAAACAGTATGTTAGAAGAATGTTCCTCTATATGTTTCAAAGCTATGATAGTGAATAAGTTGATTGAGAAGGAGGTGCAGTACTTTACCATACATTATTTTGCTCATTTTATTTCATTTTCAAGAGGAGCTATACTTTAGTGCAAATGTTAGTTCATTTAAAAGAGAGTTATATTTACATCAAAGGATTTCTCTTCATTTCATCAAAAGTACTCATTTTTTATGCTAGGTCTTGAATTATTTTGTTTTAGAAGCGTTTTAAAGTATTTATTCCCCATTTCCAATAAAATTCCAGTCTGAAATGTGCTAAAAATCATTAATCTCAATATAACACATTCTTTGTTATAACAATTTTTTCTCAGGTCCCTTGGAGTTCGTTGTAACAAGATTTTACTGTATTTATATTCAAAAAAAATTTTTTAAATACTTCATGATAAATTCACTTATTCAATTCATAATCAAAAGCAAGCTGATTTTGAGCTTATTCGTTCAGTTTTTTCAATCATTTGTGCATATTCAGCAAGACTTATTCATTTTCTTTGCTTATTTATTGATCTTGTGTTGACACCAAAAGATCAGATTCTATGCGGTGTGTTCTGCACTGCTGTTATCTTCAACTTGAAGTTGACAAGGGAAACAATTTTCATCAAATTTGTCGAGGGTTCATTTCTAATTTTTGACGAAGAGGTGAACTAATTAAATATATTAGCATTGAAGTCTAAGGGGAAATGAGACTCAACTTTGGGACATTCCAACAGCAGGACACTCTTGATGCACCAAATATGTCGTCATCTTGTGGTCTTACTGTACAATAAATAAATCAGCTAAACAAAATGAACAAATTGATTACCCTTCTTCAAGCTTTCGAATTCCCCCAGCCGTTTTTCCAGATTATTCAACTGGTCCTTCATATCAGGACTCGCTTGCAATGCGAATGCATTTTGTTTCGATTGCAACAAACGCGCGTTTCGGACCGTGAATGGCGCAAGCAAAACACTCTTGGAACGTCCTCCTATTCGTAGAATTTTTCGTGTGAAACGACTAATTCCTTCCAAAAACTGATCCAGGGCGTGATTTGTGAAACAAACTACTAGGATCGGTCCGTCGTCTACAATGTTGTATTTTTCTCGGCGGTACAGGATCGTCTCAACAAGCTTCAAGCCGATGAACGTTTTACCAGTCCCTGGAGGACCTGCGAATATTCAAATAGGGAAAAAGTCAAATTAGGATACAGTGCAGCACCATGAAGTCTATGCCAATAACAATAAGTTCATAACATGGAATATCCTTGTTACCAGACTTCAATGATGTTTGGAAAATGCGAAGTTCTCTAAGACGTCTCTTAAGTCTATACATCTTAATAATAATCATTGTGAAGTATTCTAAAATTTAGTTTTGACAACTTATGGTGTTGAGATTTTTACTCCTTCTTGCAGGGTCAATCAATAAAGAATCCTCAAGAATTCTATAAAATAATGCAAGCGTTATATTTCTGTTATTCTACAATTATGGGCAACAAGCAATGCCGTAGTTCAATGAAAACGTGCTATAACATAAAAATGAATATACTGTAATAAATATATAAATCCAATATTTTGCGGCACACTGTCTGCTGCTGCACGCATATGTAATAACACCACTGACCTTGAATGATGGCGAACTCGTGACAAAGACCAACTTTGAATGCACGAAACTGAGCTTCTTCCAGCCCAAGTTCTTCTGGTTCTGGCCACTGGTCCGTGAACGGATTTACAATACATTGCCTGCCCTTACATTTCAACGGAAAAACTTGTGACTCACTATCCTGATGATCCAGAATATTTTTCGGCAGAGACATGCTTCTTTTCAAATCCACGACGTATTTCTTCAACGGATATTGATCCAAAGAAATCATTTGTAGAGAAGACAATACGTGTCGGTATGCTTCGAAAAATGCAGTACTTTCTACGACCAAAAATTCCGGACCTCTTGTCCATGCATTGAGATCAAATTTGCTGCTTTCAGGACGTATCCTTATGATCCCACGCTTCAAATCATCCACGTTTCGTTCCGCGACAGAGGCAAACAGCACACTTTTAAAATTGTCATTTGTCAAGCATAGCAGAGAGCCAAATATAAGCCGTTTGCTGTTTTTCCATTCCACTCGGCCCAAATTTCTCAGAGAAAATTTCAATTCGAGAGTGACTCCAATTCGGTCGTAATCCGTTCCAGTAATGACTCCTTTTTCATAAATTCTGACTTCTTGAATCTTGCGCCGAGCACCGAATATATCACACTTGTTTTCCATTCCTTTCATCACCTCTGCAACTCCTTCTCGCAACGGCTTCATGAAGTCTTCTTTCATTAAGCGGAATTGAACGTCTAGGTAGTGGTCAGCGTTCAAATATCGACCACTCGAGATATTTGAACGCAAGAACGGCTCCTCATTGCCCAAAAGATCATCCAAAGTCGGAAGAACCGATAATGTGCGGAAGTCTTCAGGAGCTTCATCCAAATGACTTTTACCTCGAAAGGCATTCCTTTTATCTATAGAATGACCTGGTTTTTCGACAGTTCTGCGAAGAATTGTCAGATTCTCACGGACTCGGTTTAACGTAGGCCCCAGTTCGATATCCGCACCCAAAATATTCTCCAGGTCGAGGACAACCATCTTCACTGAATTAACACAGGCTTCGACGTTCATGGCCTTGTCCGCAGGACAACGTCTGACAAGCAAGTCAAACAATGCGATTTCGCATCGCAAAATGTCCCGAACATCCGTGGGCTTCGAATTACACATTGACATTAAAGTTGACAAATTGAACTGTAACAAGGATGAGTCGAGGAACTTCGAGTGCAATATCAATGAAATGACTCTGCCAACGGTGAATTCAAATCCGTGCAACTCCATTGCCTTGCACAGAACTTTCAAAATGTACAGCATTCTTTCGGAGTTATCTATCAGCCGTTCATCTTCTAAAGCTAAGGGAAATCCGGACTTTTCATTGATCACCGCGAAAACTGTGGCTGGATCCTCGCTTTCCGCAAGTTCTCGCAGTGCTCCTAAGCTCATAGGATATTTCCGTTCACGCATCATCCTCTTACAATCTGCACTTGAGTCTTCCTTCGATAACAAACCGCTGTAAATCTGTTCAGTGATGAGGATTTGTTGAAAGAATTTATCGTTGGCGGCCTGCGAAAATGGATGTACATTCAGTTCCGAAATTTCAGCCGACGTTTGCGGTATATCACGTCAAATAACTACCCTACATTCTCTATATATGGATGACGATTTAATTTATTTCACTTAGTTATATGCTGAATCTGGCAAGACCAACAAATGCAAATCTTTCCACACATGACGAAATGAATATATAGCTATATAACTCGCATTATTGGCTTTTTATCTTTCAAAAGTTGGACGTCTAAACTTTATACTGTACATTATACTCGTTCGAAGGACCGAAGAAAATACCTCGCGGATCGGGGGTGAAAAAAGAAGAAAAAAAAACTATACTACGCTGGCCCCCTTTATGTATAGTCCTGTTCTACTTCAGCTAATTGATGAACGTTCACCCTAAATTCATCACATAAAGCTATCATGGGAAAGCTTCATGTCACACTAAAAAGAGGCTGATCCGAACTCCTATATGTATAGGAACCTTTCGAATGAATTCGATCCAAATACTAACCTTCAGTCAGGCATCCATTTTGTGCTTGCAAAATGGGCTTTCTCATCCACAGATTTGGCTGCAATAATAGCTCTCTTCCGCAAAATGTAGTGAGCTAGGTTCGCCTTCCACCGCGAATGCCCCACGGCCGTGATTGGGAATCGAAGGCAATCGATGCGGTATTCTCACCTTCACCAAGTTTAGATTGCAAACTTCTTTTTTTCTTTCTGTAAGATGAGGCGTATCCACATTGTTTTACAACACTACATAACCTACATAATTGGGATACCGTATCTTTCAGGAGAAATTTTCTCAATATGCATTATTCGGAAGCATAATAACGCGCGCATCGCGAAAGCTGCGCATGGATGATGAGTACAATTTATAAGACCAAATATACCTAACAGTTAGCGGAAAAAACTAAGGATCTGATTTGCTCCAACGAAACGACCCCGGCACCCTGCCAAATGGTGTCGCAAAAAATAATCGATTACAATATTTTCACAGTACAAACTCGTCATCAGTAACGATTTACAGGCATTATATACAGCGCGTCAAGCTCGAAATTCTCGTCAGTCTTAAGCCGTTTTTCAAGGATTAAATTCACAACCTCATCAACTTCTCGTCGTGGAATGCTGGGAAGTTGTTTATTTATCCATCACATTTGAAGGGTCATTCACGCATGGATCTGAACACATCAGTGTATTTATGAACAAATGGATGTACAGGAAAAATCAACTTTTATAGTTAGCTTGACTTTCACTTTCTTGAACGCGTGCAGAATGGTCAGGGCTTTGAAGCAGTTTAAATTGTTCTCTCGGAACTTGAGCGGACTGGTGGCGAGGAACAATCTTTCCTTGATCGACTTCCAGCTTCTTCACTTATAAATATAGGACAACTGCATACATGAATTCAAGAATGAAACAATACTTCCAATAACTTTGATGCTCGAACAAATTCCAGTCATCATATCACGAAATACACAAACCGTGATTCAGAATAGTCACACGTCGAATAAGAATGCAGCTGGATCGCGGATCTTCTGTATCAGTTGAAGACTGCCCTCTCATATCTATACGATGAGTCACTACCCCGGATCAAAATCGAGAACTGCGAAGCGATACATAGGGAGTGTGAGTGGAAGCCAGGTAATTGTTGCATCCAGGAGGCCTTCCTGTATTGCCCTCAACGCCATAGAATCATACATTCCTCAGCTCCTATCTATCCATCTTGAAAATCAGGATGCGATTACGGTCTACGTACTGTACCACACTATCTTCGCGAATGCATGGTTGCCAGGTGCTGATGACGTTGACGCTGCATGGAAAGATCTAGATATTCTAGAACGGTAATTCTACCCGAGTTGTGTGAACCGAACTGAAGTGACGCGATTGGCTTCAGGCGAAGATCAAAGATCAAGGTTATTCCAGCCGAGAGTCGTCTGACCAATTCCAACTTCTTGAATTTGTGGAGTGACATCTACAGCATACACTAGTAAGGCATGAGATCAATACGCACTATTCAACCAGAATACCGTACTGGATGCTCAATGTTGTACAATACTGTACTGCACACATTTGCAAACCACATAGCTGCTGTACATGCAGACCAGCTTGTTTTAATGCAAATCCGGACGATCTCCTCCTTAGTTCACATTCATTTTGAACGCGGATTGCAGTAGCACGCACAACAATTATATACAGTATTTATCTGTATGATACTGTACCAAATAGATTCGAAGGAGAAAATAGTAGGGCCAAAAATGTAGGTCCGTATAAGGACAGCTAGGTCTCCAAAATCTGAACACCTGTAAAGTACCAGCAGCATCCATAAAGGGTCACCAGAAATATGAACAGAATATATTGTAGGCCGTATTTGTTCATATGCTCATAATGGAGAACAATAATTGCTCCTCTTCATTTGAGCAAAACTGCGCAGACTACAAGAATCCAACCTAGATGATACCTGAAGGATTTTTGTTCAATAGATGTCGCTCGTACATGGGAATACTGCGTGCATGCACCAGAAATTTACACGCACATTTTTACTGATGGAATTGAATCAGGAATACATCCCAATAAGACGTCTTGATTAGAACAAATTCAACATTCAGCGTCAATATACTGTATAGCTACTATAGCAGAATCTTGTTACAATAGCAAAGCAGGTGGTACCTTTAAAAAAACTTTGTCATGAGCAAGCATTCATAAGAACGAAATTTAAATAACGTACAGTGCTTTACACGGTATAAAAAAGTTATGCCAGAAAATCCTTCACATTGATTAACATGTACTTATGAATGACATTTATTCCCTAATTCAGGAACTTCTCAAATCAACAGTTTGTGGAATTCATTCAAATTTGATTCAAAGAAGATCAATAGCTGTAGAATAACTCGATCAAACTATTGAATCATATACTGTCTCTGTACATGTGTCCACCAGAGTTTCTTCCCCCAAATACAACACATCCAAAATAATTCACATGACTAATGAAAATCCTTTATTGAACTCTCTTGGCTCTTTTGTTGATGGAATATTTTTAAAATATCCCTACTGAAAAACTTATTCCTTCAAAACAAAGCGCACTGAGTAAGCACTCAAAATTTTTTGACAATTACCAATCCAGGTGTGAACAGTTTGATTGGGTTCCTGTCAGTCATTTTTCAAACAGAAAATTTTTCTTGGTTGAAAATCTTCATCAGATGATGATTGCAACTCTTGAATAATACAAGAACCCAGCAGTTGCTGCATATTCATAGTGGCAGGAATTCTGAAATTCAAGATTTGTACAGGCATCAGGATTGAATAAGAACTGAAGGCAGTACAGCGTATCTTACATGTAAAAACCCTTCTGCTCTCCTTGATCTTCATCCTAACACATGTGCTCCAAAACTTGACGCAAACATGTTTTTTTTTTCATTTTGCTAAGCTGGAAGATGATTGACTGAAAGGCCCCGCCATTTTCCGCTTGGATATCTCCGGGGTATCGATTACAGAAATTGTTCTGCTTTCTGTTGAGCGACACCTAGTTGAGAACGCTTCAAAATCAATGTGATGTTTCGGACTCGCCTGAAAGATTTCGCTGCATAGACACAAATCCATTGACAACGGTCACGGCTATGGCCGCTGAAGAATAAGGACCTGTTTCCGCTTCTTCCCACGCTGTTTGCGGATACGCTGGCTCGTTGTGCTTTATTAGGTCCATGCCTAAGAAATATACACCGATTTGAAAGTAAAGTAATGTGCAATGCTATTTTTTTTATATGCTCATTTAAACGCAAGTTTGAACCTCTGAGCTCAGTTTCCCTTGGCACTCGAAGCATGTTCATCAACTTCAGGGTGGCAAAGAGAATGAAACACAGTCCTCCAGACCAAGTAATGAAGGCTGCAGCTCCAATCAGATTCCAAAGCAGAACCTGGGAAAATGACACGACAGGAGCGACATCTTTGTAATAGAAGTGCTCAGCAGTTGAATTCTCCAATCTCTCCGATTTTGAGGAACTTTTGTGCAAGTAAAATTTCTGAATATGAAGGACTTCCTATGAAAAATTTCCATGTACAATTAATCCTCATTGAAGTCCCAGCACAAGGAACTGTCAGCCTTCAATTTTAAAAATCATGCTACAAAGAATTTGCTGAAATCAAAACATAGTCTTTCAGTACATTGGAATGCTGAAATCAGTATTGCTTACTGAATCCTACAAGGAAATGATTTTCAAACTTTTTGTATTTTTTTCAAGAAAACCTGGTCATATTGCAGTCAATGATTACACATTTCCATTAGTCAACATATACAAGTCATTATATAGTCATACTTTTTCATGAAGAAAGCAAGAATATATAATTCATTTCTATGAAAATGAGAAACCATTTCAACCATATTTCTGGCACTTTACAGTAAGTACTAGTACTTTACTGTACTAGTACTTACTTAGTACTAGTACTAACTAAGTACTAGTACCAACTAAGTACTAGTACTTTACTTTATATAGAATATGTAAAACAGAATGCTGGTGCTCAGAAACTCACATTATGACTTCATTCACTGGAATCTGCTGCTTTAATGATGTCATGAGTATGCTTAAAATTTTCAAATGAACTCATGATAAAATCAAAATTCTGCTGTAACTCACTATTGCTGCTTCAAGTGAAGGATTGAAAAAGATTCCATTCCTCATGAGGAAGGGAACAGCTAAAAGTCCAAAGAATCCTCCACCAAAATGCACAGCAATGGCATCCAAGGGATCATCAACTGTATGCAAAAGATGGAACACAGTTATTGTGCAGGATCAATTGTAGATCACTGATTGCAAATAAGACATACCTTTTATTTTCAGCATTAGGAAGTGCAGGCACAGGTAAGTGAATCCTGCACCCCATCCTACCACCAAAGCTGCCCATGGGTAATATGAATCACTTCCAGCACAAACACCAATCTGGAAGAAAAAATTTGTGTCCATCCTCCTATTCTCTTTCAAAGCACTGCAAGTGTTTAAAATTTGTACTTTCTTTATGAGGTATTTATACTCATTGGACTAAAGTTCCAGGGGGACTCATAAAAAACAACTACTGTATTGCTTTGAAGTGAACCTTCTTACAACTTTCAGTTCAACACCCTGATGGTCTTTCAAATTGATATTTTGTTTTCATACAAGATATATTGGAGAATTTTGGTTAATTATAAGATGATTGTTAAGCCCTTGCTCTGCAAGGAGAATTATTTTTATATTATTTAATATGCTGTGTGTGAGATATTTGCAAAATAAAGATGGAAGATAGAAATCATACTTGCTCCAGTTAGCATATCATCTTACTACCCAAGTGGGGAGCTATTTTTGCTGTGACCCCTGCACACCAGGGTCACAACTGGAGCATATGGGATATTCTGGGGGTACAAGTGTGCACTCCTGTAGAGGAAATTTTGCTACCATTCCAGGGTTACACTTGGTGTACAAATGTGAAATAACAGG